CTGGTCCTGACATGGTCCTGGTCCTGACATGGTCCTGGTCCTGACATGGTCCTGGTCCTGGTTCTGACCTGGTCCTGACCTAGTCCTGACCTGGTCCTGACCTGGTCTTGGCCTGGTCCTGACCTGGTCTTGGCCTGGTCCTGACCTGGTCTTGGCCTGGTCCTGACCTGGTCTTGGCCTGGTCCTGACCTGGTCTTGGCCTGGTTCTGGTCCTGACCTGGTCCATGTGTCTCCTGCAGCCCCGGGCGGTGAACGTGGACCTGGAGATGGACGCCACGCTGCAGGTGGACATCTCTGATGCTCTCAGTGAGAGAGACAAGGTGAAGTTCACCGTCCACACCAAGGTAAGACCCTGCAGTTCTATGGTTCTGGTGGGGTTCTGTCAGAAGGTTCTGGTCGGGTTCTGTCAGAAGGTTCTAAAAGTGATCAGTGTTTCCTCAGAGCACGCTGCCTAACTTCAAACAGAACGAGTTCTCTGTGGTCCGACAGCACGAAGAGTTCATCTGGCTGCACGACTCGTTTGTGGAGAACGAAGACTATGCAGGATACATTGTAAGAACCGAACCGAACCAGAACCTTGATCCAACACAACCAGTAAAACCAATAAAACCAGTGACTTAGTGGTTTGTGTTTGGGTAAAGATCCCCCCGGCCCCTCCCAGACCAGACTTTGATGCCTCCAGAGAGAAGCTGCAGAAGCTGGGAGAGGGAGAAGGATCCATGACCAAGGAGGAGTTCACCAAGATGAAGCAGGAGCTGGAGGCGTGAGTAGACCCCACCTGACCCCACCTGACCTTAGACCCCACCTGACACCACACCTGTACTGTGCTGTCCTCTGGTGAACCCCCCACCTGTACCTTGTCCCTCAGAGAGTACCTGGCCATCTTTAAGAAGACGGTGGCCATGCACGAGGTCTTTCTGTGTCGTGTTGCCGCTCATCCTGTCCTCAGGAAGGACCTGAACTTCCACGTCTTCCTGGAGTACAACCAGGATGTGAGTATCAGAACCAGGTCTGAACCGGGTCCGAACAGGTGAGCTGTAAAACGGTCCGACTGGACCTGCGGTGTCGTTTCCTTTCAGCTGAGCGTACGAGGGAAGAACAAGAAGGAGAAACTGGAGGATTTCTTTAAGAACGTGGTGAAATCAGCAGATGGTGTCCTGGTGGCTGGAGTCAAGGTGAGAGCACAGGCTCCGCCCCCTCTGTCAGAGCTGGCTTTGATCCCGTCAGGTGCTCAGTGCTGCTTCTGCTCTGTTTGGGTTTCAGGACGTGGACGACTTCTTTGAGCACGAGAAGACGTTCCTGTTAGAATATCACAACAGAGTGAAAGATGCTTCGGCCAAATGTGACCGAATGATCCGCTCTCATAAAAGTAAGACGTCAGAAGATGAAAGGTTTGATTCCTTTGATGTTTATAACGAGCTGAGCTCTGATTGTGTCCAGATGCTGCTGACGACATGAACAGAATCGCCTCATCCCTCTACACGTTAGGAACACAGGACTCCACGGACCTCTGCAAGTACGGACAAATATTCACACAACAACCTGTGCAGTGGAGAGGAGGATCACACCTGTTCTCACCTGAACACCTGTTACCTGCTCCTGCAGCAGGACCAGGACAGAAACAGAGAACATGTGGAGCTTCCTGCTTGTTGACCGGATTTTATTTGTTCTTTTTAAGGTTCTTCCTGAAGGTGTCGGAGCTGTTTGATAAAACAAGGGTAAGTGTGTCTGATCCTGAACACCTGAAACACCTGTAACACTTGTAGCACTTGTAGCACCTGTAACACATGTAACACATGTAGCACATGTAACACCTGTAACACATGTAACACCTGAAACTTGTAGCACATGTAACACCTGAAACTTGTAGCACCTGAAACACCTGTAACACCTGAAACTTGTAGCACCTGAAACACCTGTAACACCTGAAACTTGTAGCACCTGAAACACCTGTAACACCTGAAACTTGTAGCACCTGTAACACCTGAAACTTGTAACACCTGTAGCACCTGTAACACCTGTAGCACCTGTAGCACCTGTAACACTTGTAGCACCTGTAACACTTGTAGCACCTGTAACACTTGTAGCACCTGTAACACT